TTATAAAGCATACCTCATCTCGAAAAATGTGGATCCTTGCCTAGTTAGTTGAATACTCACAGTTCATAATTGCTTGCACTACTTGCACAACCTTCATGCAGAATCATGGAAAGTAATGAGAGATACGAGTATCTTCTAAAAATCCTGCGTCATGCCAACGTATATCAAATTCACTTTTTAATTTTACTGATGCCCTTTGCTGTGAGAAATTTATCCTCAATGAAATCTTTTATAAATTTATTTGGCTGTGACCTCTCAGAAACCAAAATATCTATCAGTAATTGTTGCATGTATCAGGTACTATCTTCAGGTACACCTGCTTCTAGGTGACTATAATAATTTGCCCACTTTGGACGCTTTTATGGATTTTGGGGAAATTTGAAGAGCATACTAAGCGATGTGTAGTTTTACCGTGTATGATGTTGTGCGTAAGGGTATCAAGATTTGAAAATGACTTGACAAATACCTCGTTAAAATGCCTTGTGTGAGAGTTGACGGAATCAAATGGACAAACGCTGGTGTATTTAAAATAGTAAAAGCCACTGTCCAACTACCATCATGTAATGCGTCCATTGATCGTATGCAGAGCTCTGTGCGCTGTTTGATTCTCACACTGGCTTCCAATGAGTGTTAGCTGTGAAGCGATTCGCAATAGTGCTATAGTGATTTGTCAGCGTTAGATTCTGGTCTTTCAACGTGTGCTTGCGGTGATGAGGGCAGTGTCAATGAGGCTGATGCGAAACGGAGAGTAGAAGAGAAGAAATACACCATAGTGACCACGAATGCATATCGGCAGATACCATGCATATTAATACATAAGGCGTAGGAAATAGGCTGACCTCAGGAGCGCCTTAATACTACACAGAGCATTCATTGAGACAGACACCTTGTGTCACATAGGTTTCATTAGTAATCTTAGCCTTAGGAAGAGGTCAATGCACGACCCCACTTCCATGAAATAGAACTTGAACTGTGGCGTTATTACATTCTATTCTCACCCTCAGTGTGCTGATGCTGTGGAGGAAGGAAGAATTGTCAGCAATGAGGAGCAATG